ATTTCATATTTATATATCTCGATGTGGAGATGATCAATTATAGGGTTTTTCAACATTAAAAGAACCTTTTTTGATAGATTTTTGAGGTGCATCTTGAATTCTACATTTTAAGGTTGCAACCATATATAAACTTTTTCCCTTTTTTTTTGTGCTTGTGAAAAATTGTTTTGGGTTGAATCCCTTCGCAAGCTTTAAGAAAAAAGCTTGAACTCTCAATTTCTTTTCTTTTTTGTTTCTTTCTCTCACCTGTGCTGCACAAAGTTGTATTAGAGCTTAAGAAATATCCAATCACTTATAAACCAATATTTGCGTCTATCATTAAAGATTTGCTGCTTCAAATCATGAAGATTGTGAATCAACAAAGAAAAGAGAACATAAATCAAGTTATATAGAGTTTGAGAGGTGGTCTTTGAGTTTAGATTGGTAAATTTGACAAAAGATTAGCGAAAGAAATCAACAATTCCACCCTATTGAAAACTATCAGTCACTAAGAAAAGGGTGATTTTGTTTAGTAGATTTGGTACTGTTGGGTTTGGTGATTGCTAAAATACCAAACCCAAATTTTCTTCTAATGATTAGGGTATTATAGAAAATAGAAAATTGACTTTCTTAAGAAGTAAAAAATTGATATCTTTATAAGAGAGTGAAATACGACATAATACCCATCTTTTGAGGGTCACCCCTTTGGGGGTTATGGGAATGGATCTCCAATATGGAGATGGGTCTCCAAGAGAGAGACATGGCCTCCGAAAGAGAGGTGGTATTCTCATGAGTTCTGAGTTGGTTAACTTTCACTTTTAGATAGAGAAAATATCTATGTTACTCTCGATGTTATCTTTTCGATAGCGGTATTACGGTGGGAAAGAGGATATTGATCGACTGTGTGGCTCGATCTGGAGAGCGGGTTTAGAAGAGAATATCGGTGATGGTCTTTTACCGATGTTTAGATAAATTTATTATCTCTTTTAACCCAAAACTGTAATCTTCATTGTGATAGTGAATTTATAGTTGTCGAAGCCGTGGATGTAGCCCCACGGGGTGAACCACATAAATCGTGCGTTGTTGAGGTGTGCTTTTTATGTTTGCTTTATTTCTCATACTCGATTTATAGTTGTATTCATTTACTTCGTGTTTAGCCAATCATGTACACGATCTTGGGTGGGATCCCAGTATTTAGGATTCCCGATTCACAAGCCTAGGGGTTCCCAAGTGCCCTATTAGCCAATCATGTACACGATCTTGGGTGGGATCCCGGTATTTGGGATTTCCAGTTCCACAAGCTAAGGGGTTCTTGAGATCCTACAATTAGTATCAAAGCACAAGGTGTGTACAAGGTGTGTACGGGGCTAAGGTTTGTATTAAAAAAAAGAGGAATAACGAAGTTTTATGGATACATGGTTTGAGGTGGAAAACTATAAAAGCAAAGTGTTTGTGAAAATTCCACAATGTGGCCAGTAAAAAGAAATCAAGAAATATCCATGGTTTGAGGTGGAGAAATATGAAGGTAAAGTATTTGTAAAAATTCCATAATGAAGGCAAGTATAAGGAAATCAAGAAATATATTCAATGAAGGTTGTCAAGGCAATTATGATGATTTTGCTATCAAGGTGGAGATTGTTGGGTTTGGTGAGAGCTAAATCACCATACCTATGTTTTCTTCTAAAGATTAGGGTATTATGGAAAATAAAAAATTGACTTTCTTAAGAAACAAGAAAGTTATATCTTTATAAGAGAGTTAAGGAGGACATAATACCCATCCTTTGAGGGTCACCCCTTTTGGAGGTTATGGGAATGGATCTCCAATATGGAGATGGGTCTCCAAGAAAGAGACATGACCTCCGAATGAGAGGTGGTATTCCCATAAGTTCTTGGTTGGTTAACTTTCACTTCTAGATCTATGTTGCACTCGAGGTTATCTTTCCAGTAGCAGTATTACGGTGGGAAAGAGGATATTGATCGACGGTGCGGCTCAATCTGTAGAGCGAAAAGGAAGATCGGTGATGGTCTTTTGACGATGTTTAGAGATAGGTATTATCTATTGCAACCCAAAATTGTAATCTTCATTGTGATAATGGAGTTTTAGTTGTCGAGGCCATGGATGTAGCCCAACGAGGTGAACCACGTAAATCGTGTGTTGTTGTAGTGTGCTTTTTTATGTTTGCTTTATTTATCGCACTCGATTTATAGTTGTATTCATCTACTTCGTGTTTAGCTAATCATATACACAATCTTGGGTGGGATCTCGGTAATTGGGATTCCTGTATCCGCAAACCTAGGGATTCCAAAGAACCCTACTAGCCAATCATGTATACGATCTTGGGTAGGATCTAGATATTTGAGATTCTCGAATCCGTAAGCTAACGGGTTCTCGAGATCCCTACATGTACCAAGTCTCAACTAAAAGATCAATCAAACTCATAACTTACTCTACTGATTGATTGAGCATATTTTGAGGTAATAATCATGGCTTGTAGAGAGATCTCGACATCAAAGTGGATTTACCTGAGTTTCATAGTAAGCTCCACATTAAATTTTCTTTTTCTTTTTTTCAAAGACCTCAAAAATCATCGACACATTTGTAAGAGAGTAGAGGATTATATATGGAACTTTGATAGACTTTTAGGGCTTCAACCAGCCGTTAGGGATAATGTTTTTCAACACCAGCCATGGACATCAAGTGTGGCTTTTCAAATTGCACTAGCACGCAGGCCAAGTTATAGTGGGTCATTGGTACATGACTCCTTACACAGATGAAGGCTTGCCACCACCTAAAATTTTGTGAAGACAAGAACGAACAAGATCAAGTGGCTTCCTCCAATGTTGTAAGTGGAGTGAAATAGGATACTACGCTTATGAACGCATGAAGATGGTAGAACTCATTTGGTTGGAGAAACTGATGATTTGATAAAGAAATGAGCATCTAGAAATACACTTGAAGGATGACAAAAAGATAAGGGCAAGTTTTATATGTTTATCCTACGGCATAAAACTTATATACTTCCATCTATCTAACCGTTCATTTTGAATGGACTGAATGGACGGCTGAGATGGCCCCAATCACCGAAATTTGACACCGAATTTTGGCCCCAATCACCCAATCACAATGTAAAAAATATTTTGACACCGAATTTTGGGCGTCCACTCTCCTCTTAAAAAATATTTTGACACCGAATTTTGGGCATCCACTCTCCTCTTAAACTTGCACTTGTAAAAAATAAAAATAAAAATATTCTCAACAAAATGAAATGATTAAAATATCCCTGAAAGCGTCATTATATTTTATCGAGAAATTTTTTTAATATATTTTTAGGTGCACCCCCATTAAGAATATGGCACGTACCAAATTTCAGATTCATACAATTTGTATAAAAAACTAAAACTAAAATACTCTGAGGCGTCGGATCTAAGATCAAACGGTCAGTGGCTCACTTGATCTAAATTGAAAAGCTTGATGGGAGAGGAAGTATATGTTTTCTATGTTGTTGGGGAAGCATAGAAGCCTTTCCCAAAAGATACAGTCCTTGATTTAATTGTTAGATCCACAAGTTTCATCTCAAGCTATCTCATAATCCCATCAGAATGACATTATTTTTTTTATTTTTTTTTGAGATTGAAAATAAAGGTTATTTTGTCTTTCTTTTTTCTCTTCATGTTATCTTAGATATGAATGCTTTTTTGTTGTTACAGTGAATCTAGTAAAAGAGTTGGAACTTTATTTTCAAAAAGACGTAGGCTTATGATTTAATTGTGATTAAGGTTCTTAGGAGCAAATCAGAATTTTGGTTGTTTTTTTTAGAGTGATTTACGTACAGACTCGAAAACTTTACCTAAAATACAAAATGATTCAATTATATGCTGAAATTACAAGGAAAGTCAGTCAACCCACATTTTTTATTTTTTTCAAAATTGTCCCTCGGTCTGAGGATGGCATCCTAAGACTGCATTTAATTTTTATTTTATTGTTAGTTTTTTTTATTAGTAGGGCAGTGCCCCAAGCTTTAGGGGCAGTGCCAAGACGGTCCAAGTTTAGAATCCTCGGACCGCCCTTTAGACTGCTCTTTCTTTCTTATTGTTTGAGAAAAACAGCGGTCTAAGATCTCCATATGGACAATTCTTTATTTCTCATTTTTTGAGAAAAATAGAGGTCTGAGATTGGGGACCTCGGACCGCTCTCTGGACATAACAAAACTCAATTCTAGGGCGGTCAGAGATCCCCATCCTTGGACCACGCTTTATTTCTTATTTTTGAGAAAATAGCGGTCTGAGGGTGAGGACCTCAGACCGCTCTACTAGGGTTTTGTTGTGTTCACAGGGCGGTCTGAGGATTCTAAACTCGGACAACCCGGGTACTTCCCTTAAAGCTTGGGGCATTTAACAAAAAAAACCAAAAAAATAAAATTAAATATGCTCAAAGGATTCCACGTCGTTTTCTACCACCACTAGCTGGCCGCAGGGGAAACATACGTCGGCCCCCTCTCGAGAAAAATGGGTGGGGGTCCAACAAGCACTTATTGCAGAAGGGGGCCCACAAGCACCTGACTTACCCCTTTTCTTTGGTAAAACCGACCTCTTTGTTTTCACTAATGCTGATGCAGTATGGGCATAGATAAGGAAAGAAAAATCCCAGTGGGGCCGATGCTTTTCTTTTACGGCATCCTCTGACAGAGGGTCATTTTGAAAAAAAAATAAGTAAATAAACGCGAGTTGACTGACCTTCCTTGTAATTTTAACCTACAAATCCATACAAAATTTTGTTTTATATATATATATATATATATATATATATATATGCTAGAAGCTTGGAGACACACAGGGATATAACCATTAGACAGCTTGGCCTTTTCGGATTGGATGCATGTGTTGATGACCGCGTAGATTCCTGACTCCTGTGAAGGAATAGCATAAACACCCTCTTCTAATATAATATTCAATGATCAATGTCAGACAATATCTTAATCTATTCATGTCGTGCTAAGATGATATTGATATAATATTGAAATGACAGGGTGTATGTTGAGACTAAGTCTCAAATACATATTTAATCAACCCCCACGTTATCAAACATTCAACTCTCTCTCTCAATCGACAGCCAATCATCTCTTTTTTAAAGGTTGGTCAACCTGTATTATTATTTTTTTCACGATTGTTAGGATGGACTTCTCGATCTGAATTTCAATTTTTTTAGTTTTTTTTTTTTTATATTCTCATTAGTAGGGAAATGCCCCAAGCTTTAGGGCAGTGCTCTCCTAATGATCAAAATTTAAAATAAAATTAAATTCAGTCTGAAGATGTCCTCATACAAATTTTGAAAAAAATAAAAAAAATGGGTTGCCTAAATTCAAACCTATAAATAAAGCACTTCATATTTTAGAAAATATTTTAGGGTCTGTAGGTAAATGACTCGTACATATTTAATCGAACCCCATGTTGTCAAACGCGTATCTCACTCACACACTCTCCCTGTCAATCGACAACCAATCAGTTCTTTTTGACATTATTAATCCGGTGGCAAGATGCTATATAAAGGAGACAGGGAAGAGGCAAGTGCACCAAAGAGGAAGCAAGATGAAGAACGTAGTAGTGTTATTGTTTTCTTGCATGCTTGTTTTTGGGGTTGGTGTGTGCAGTGGAGGGAGTTTGAGGAAGAATTTCTATAAGAAAACTTGTCCAAAGGCAGAGGAGACGGTGAGAAATTTCATATGGGGGCAGCTCTCTAATGGCAATAACTCTGCATTGCCTGCGAAGTTGCTCAGGATGCATTTTCACGATTGCTTTGTGAGGGTAGGCACCTTTTCTTCTAGTTAGCTTCTCAAGCCTTTGTCTTTCAAAGAAATCCTCTCTCTCTCTCGTATGTTTCAGGTGGAATGATCGTTGTTTGCGTGCATATGTGCAAGGCAGAGTGCAATAAATTCATATTAGGGTCTAATTGAATAACAATTAATTTTATCTAGAATAGACTATCTTATAATCATATTATTTTATTGGGACTTTAATATATACTCTTCATTGTATACAATGTTATTTAACTATTTAATTTTTTATGATTGTCAGCTATTTTTTAATATTTATTGATAAAACCATGTAATCTTTAGCAAATTACTTTGAATAAAATAAAACAGTGTTTCATAAAACGAGCCCGGGTATAGACTGGCAAGATAACAAGTGCATTCAAAACGGGCCCTCATAGTATTCAGGTTCTTATGGAAACGGAGTTGAGTAACTGTTCCTATTGAAAGCGTAGAGTGGCCTTAAGAATGGATACAGATTCAAGGGAACTATTTTAAATTGGCCTCCATTGGGGTGGAGTAGGGAAATAACACAATGGTATTCGTGTCCTGATCCATAGGATCCGGATTTGGATTCAAAAAGTATACATGAGATCCAGATCCATTTGGATTCAGATTATCTAGGTCCAGATCCATATTCAAAAAGTATACATGGGATCTAGATCTAGACACAATCAGATCCAAAAAAATTATTTTATATATCATTTTATATCTAAAAAATAATATAAAATAATACATAATAAGAAATACTATATAACATATATGTATATTATAAAATAATTTATATTATTAAATAAGGAATACGTTTATATATGGTTGCAATCTTGAAATGTAGAATTACATATGCACCTCAAACATCCATCGGAAAAAGTTGTTTTAATGTTGAAAAACCTTCGAATTGATCATCTCGATATTGAGATGTATGAATATGAAAAAAATAAATATTTGGAGTCCTAGAAATATTGCATCATGCGACACATTATCTAGACCGTCCATTTTTAAGATTTTCATACGTTTATAAAACTACTTGATTTCAACCATTTTTGGAGTTTGAACTTTTATAATTAGATATGAAAGTAGACTTTCATATGATCCTCAGAATTTTTTACACCAAATTACATGTTATGATAAAATTTTGGAGGTGCACCTTAATTGGATTCACACCCTTTTAATAATTGGGTCGGATCAAGATCAGATCCAACCGTACCCAAATCTGATCCAAATTATTTTTTGGATCTAAATTTTGGATCTAGATCCGACCCGTTGGATCCAAACCCATATCCAGATGGGGTCCTAAATTAGTGTTTCAGATCCAAAGGTAAATTTTCATTTTATCCTACTCGAGGTGATGAGGTATACCCCACTTCTATAGCCGCTGGATTTTAGCAAGAAACCACCCATGAATGCATGGAAGGTGGCTTTGGGGTAATAATACATGGAGAAATATTGTTTCATGCAGGCCGGATTGCATTTGTACAATATGGAGGTATAAAAGATGGATGCAAATAGGTGGTCCTTTTAAAAACAATTGTAATCAACGGTCTAAATATTTTTTAATGTAAATATTATTTCTGATTTTTATATTTTCTTTATTTTTTCTGATCATTCTCTAAAAATTAAAATCAAATTATATGTAAAAAATATTTATTGCCAAGCCCACCCATACATGAATACCATGCTTATGCCAAATATAACGCTTTGTAACAAAAAACCATCAGCCACCACCTTTAGATAAAAAGTGGATGGTGGATGTTGGGTCTATTCCACATTCCTAAAAAATTTTCCTATTTCAAAAGGGTTTACGAGTTGTTGAGTAATTTATATACTTATTACACTTTCCTTATACACATAATCGCATATGTTTCAAGTATTCTACCAATTCCTGCCCATCACTAAAGTTATACTATTTGGGATAATTTCACTAATTCCTCCTTCCGAATCGTTATGATTGTAATCAATCCTAGTTGTTGGATGTAAATTGAAAAGGCTAAAAGTATTTAACGGGGCTCACATTCTCAAAAAAAATTCTTTTATCTTTGCGACACAACTCCTACTAACTTAATATTTGTACTTGAAGTTAATTTAGAAAACGCTTCCAAAGAAAACGAGGGAAAGAAAATCTAGAGACATAGAGAAGTGGATAATAGAGGCCCATGAATTTCAAACTTAACACAATGTCAAATTTAAAGTAATTTGATTATATACCATGAGACCATTTACCTTTGGTACAAGGACCATCTAATTTGAAATCCGATAGCTTAGGTATGTCTTAAAGTTTGTGAAAATTTCTTTTAAACTTTTAGCCTGGTCATTGGAATAAATGTAGCTACCCAATTTCACATCCAATGGTCAAAATTAATCATGACCACCTTGTACCAAAAGTAAAAATCTCATTGTATATCTTTCTTTCTTTCTTTCTTTCTTTCTTTCTTTTTTTCTTTTTTTCTTCTTTTTTTATAGTTGCTGCCAAAATTTAAGTAACTTGCACCCATTTTTTAAAAGAGCGGCTTATATAGAGCTGAAGCTCTAAACAATCAAATTAGAGCCGACCTCAAAAATTTCACTAGAAGATATCGTTTTGATGCCCAAATATCCTCAATTTGAGCATTTCAACATCAATATGCATGGACACGAGAATAAAATGGATTTCAAGTTTGCAAATAGTGCATCTTGTAATATATTTTTGGACCGTCAATTTTCAAGATTTTCAAACTGTCATTGATCTACTCGATCTATATTATTTTTTAAACTTTAAATGTTATTATTAAAGATAAAAATATATTTTAACGCTATCACAAAGATCAAATATTGAAACCACATTTCTCGACACTATTTGAAGGTGCGTTTTACTTTGATTGTTTAGAGCCTCGGCTCTTTACAAACCGCACCCTTTTTTAAGATGCGGTCTAACATCGAATTATTGCAGGGATGCGATGCCTCCATCTTGTTGAACTCGACGAGCAATAGCACAGCAGAGAAGGACGCGGGTCCCAACCAAAGCCTGACCGGGTTTGACATCTTGGACCGACTCAAGGCCCTCATCGAGTCCCAATGCTTGAATACAGTCTCATGCGCCGACATTCTCGCTCTGGCCGCCCGTGATGCAGTCTCCTTCCAGGTACACATGCATCATGTACAATCCACAATTGTGCACCAGCCATAGCATCCATACGATGGACAGCAGAGCAGAACTTCAAATGAATCTTGGTTGTTTTCTAACAACATACTTGTGGTTCATCTCCATAGTGCTGAGAATTTACGGGTTTGGATTTAAAATTTGGATTTGAATAGCAATTTAGATCAAATCTATGTACAAGTGGATCCGATCTAGATTTGACCCAAATATTAAAATAATATATTATGTTATATAAATACATATATGTCATGTATTTATTAATTTATTAGATTTGACCCAAATATTAAAATAATATATTATGTTATATAAATACATATATGTCATGTATTTATTAATTTATTCATATAATGTATATAGTTTAACACCAAAGCTAGAACTAATTGAATCCGGATCCAAACATTATGGATTCAATCGGATCTAGATCTAGTTACTATGTATACTTTTTGGATCCGGATCTAGATCTGGGTGGATCCGGAACCGATCTAAAAAAAACACTGCCCTACATCACCATTGTCCTTAAGTATGATACACATGTTTATAGGGGATACACTACGCATAAGCATATGAAATACCTAGAAAGCTTGTCCATCATCCATCCTCAAGATGAACGGTGGAGATCAGCCGAGGCGTCACTAGAAAATATGTCATGCCTATATAACAAGCTCTAACATGATATATATTGTAATAATAGTGCGTAGTCTTCCCCTTAAAATTATCCAATCAAAACATGATGGGACAGCGAGGCTCATGCACATGAGATGCATGATCTAATGCAATTCACAACCCACCCACTACACCTGCGATTCATCTCCACCATCCATCACTAGAATTGGTGGTGGACTGGCCACTAGTGTATCACATAGCGCACACATTGTGTGTGTATGTTGCATTTTATCTTTATTTGTTTTTCTTCAATGGATAACTGGATCACAGAGTCGTGTGAATTGCATATGCAGTATAAGCAGTCACTGTGGGAAGTTTTGACGGGAAGGAGGGATGGGAATGTATCCCTAGCATCTGAAGTGGGTCCAAATATACCTTCACCAGCCTCAAACTTAACTGTTCTTCGCCAAAACTTTGCAAACAAAAAACTCACAGAAAAGGACCTCGTTGTCTTATCAGGTAAGTTTTATGGTGATTTGTATTATAGGACTGTTTATTCTTCATCAGTTTTTTAAAACCCGGATTGGGTGGGTCAATCACCTGTTAGAGTGATCCGGATTGCAAATTCAAGCCAGGTCGGGCCATTCTTTAATATGATAATTGGAACAAAAAATTTAAATAAAATCCTATATTTGAAATAATTAAAAAATAAAAAAAAATTAATAAAAAAATGAAATGGTGGGAACCAGACGATTTAGCTTATCAAGATCACCTGGTTCCTTGGCAAACTCTCCTAGTTCTCGAGGGAGTATCAATTGCAGATCTAGATTGGTG